TTTTTTTTTAAGACAGGGTCTCACTTATGTAGCCTATACTTGCCTTGAATTTCCAGTCTTCCTACCTGAGCCTCCAGAGTGGAAGAATTACAGGCCTGTATTACCATGCCCAGCTTCTGCTCATCTTGGAGTGTAAGACCCCTCCCATGCAGGATCCTGAGGTGCTCAGTTTCTCCCTTGTCTCCAACTAGTCTCCCTAAGCTAGACCCTGGGTTCTGTGAAAACACTGCTCCTACTACCCTGTTCCCCACTTTTTCTTCAGGCACTGTTCAGGACCCTTTCACCCCAGAACGCAGAGGTTCAATCAGTGTTTAATGAATGGATAAGTGCTGGACAGAGACAACAGCAAGATCCCACTGAGGTGCTCAGTTTCTCCCTTGTCTCCAACTAGTCTCCCTAAGCTAGACCCTGGGTTCTGTGAAAACACTGCTCCTACTACCCTGTTCCCCACTTTTTCTTCAGGCACTGTTCAGGACCCTTTCACCCCAGAACGCAGAGGTTCAATCAGTGTTTAATGAATGGATAAGTGCTGGACAGAGACAACAGCAAGATCCCAGTGGATGCAATCAAAAGTAGGGGACATGCAAAAGTGGGGTGTGTTGGTACATGCCTGTAATCCCAGCACTTGGGAGAGGGAGGCAAGGAGCTCTCCCCTTTTAATGACATGTTTTAAAAAACAAAAACAAAAAACCTAGGTCTTTTGTTGAGTGTCACTGGATTTTTTTGGGGGGGGGTGGTCTTTTTGAGACAGTGTCTCCCTGTAGCCCCAGATGGCCTGGAACTCGCTATGTAAACCAGGCTGGCCTTGAACTCACAGAGATCCACCTGCCTCTGCCTCCAGAGTGCTGTGATAAAAGGCATGTGCCACTACGCCTGGCTGTGTCACTGGATTTGTATCTGTGTCTTCATGGCTGTGTATTTTTGGTAGAAGTCTCTCAAAAGTGATTTATGTGTCCTCAGTGTATCTTATCAGCAAGCATATGATATTTCTTTCATTATTTGTGGAAAAAGTACATAAAACTTATATGAGTTAACAAATAATATAAAGTGAATGAACATGTTATTACTATCCAGGCTAAGAAATAACATGGTGTACCCTATTTTATCCAAATACTAATCCTGGTAACAAAGATCCCCTTCCCTTACTCTATGCTATGCTTTTGGGAACCCTGTGTTACCCCTCCTCTGACAATGTGCCTTTGCATGAGGCAAGGAGTCACTGGGCCTCTAAGGCATGCTGCTAAATGTTTGAATCCTTTTATCTTAGACCATTTGGAAGAACACAAAGTCTTAGCATTCCTTACCTGAATGGGACTGAACTTGTTTTCTAGAGTTTGTGTATCTTGTCTAGGGTTTGTTCTCCTGAGGGTGGACTGTGCTAAGTACTTCTATATTCATTCCAAAGCCTAAGGAGTGCACTTAGATGGGGAGTATGGGATAGAAATAGGAAGAGCCTGGACTTGTCGGTAGGGTACCTACATGTTTATATACAAGGTCCCTTGCATTGTGGGATATGGAATGGGCAGCAGGCAGTTGGCTAGTGGCCAGTGTTCCCTCTGCACTACTTTTCTGCATGAACCTCTTAAGAGTCCAAAAGGTTCATGGTGAAGCTCACTTTCCAGTTAGTTAT